TTAATGTTAACTATTATTGTTACCATTGTCATTGTTCTGTTTATTAGTGAGAAGAGCATGGTAGCTGTTAGAATCTCACCCATTCTAATTGACAGGAATCGAGTATGTTCTGACAGCTGACCCCCCTGACTGCCCAAGCACACACGTCCACTCAGCCTTCTGCACTGAGGGCCTCGTGTACCTGGACCCCTCTCTGACTGTTAACTGTGGAGTTATTATGTAACTTCCTCCACATGCACATCTTGTCTGTCCTGGACAGGTGCCATGTGTTAGATTCCTCTGTGTCTCCTGTAACTCAGCATAATGCCTTGTGTACAGTAGGGCTCAATCAATTCCAGCTTTTGTTGTTGGAATGAACTCTAGAGGTCATCTGCTCCAAACTCTCCCAGTGCTCCTCCTTCTGGAGCTTATTCCTGGGTCCCAAACAACTTTAGAAATTCATATATGGGAGGTCTGAGAGAGGTTCATGAATCTCCTTCCTAACAAGCATCTTTATGGCTCTGATGCAGGTGCTCCTTGGTCACCCCTACATCTTGTCTGCAAACTGCCCATTGTGACTCACTGGTAAGCTGTGAAGCCATTGATTCAGCTGGGACCAGTATATTTAAAAGAATAAGTAGAGGAGAGGAGAGAGGAAGAGAGGGGAGGGAAGGGAAGAGGAGAGAAAGCAAGGGAACAGAAAAAGGAGAAGAGGAAGTGCCAGAGTGGATCACACTTGGCAATGGCAAGCTGTGTCCTGTGCAATTTAGTTTCAGTATGTATGTATGTGTGTGTGTATATGTACTGGGTCCTGTCATAAAGTGTACTTTATGGGTCATGGTGAAAGAATTTGAAAGATGGCCTAGAGCATCCTTTCTGGTTGGCCAGTAGGAGTAGCATCCATGAGGCAGTTTATCCAATGTTGGCCAGCTCTCAGGCAGGACAGAAGTCAGCTCCCTCTTGCAGCCACTTTTCTGGTTGCACCTTCCAGCAGAGCAATGAATGGCTCTACTTGCTCTCTCCACAGCTCTTCAGAGCTTTGAGAAGGGCCAGCATTCTAGATGGGCTGGGCTGGGGTCTGGGCTGCCTGATCAACTGAAGATGGGGTTGAAAAGATCAGTGGTGGGAAGCTCTGATGTGCAAAAGTAGCTGCTGGAGGGTGTAGGGCAGGGACGAAATCCGCAGTCCAGTGGGCCCCAGCATGGAGACTGCAGGGAGGGGACAGAAGAGACAGGAGGGGGCGGGATTCTACCCTGTCTGACCAGTTGCTGTGCTGTTTTGCTTCTGGCGCCCATGTGCGCAGCCCCTCCTCCCTGGGGGACATCCTGTCCCCTGACAGTGGCTCACACTCACCCTCTGCTCTTTTTTCGTTCAGATTGAGTGTCCTGGGTTGCTTCTGTATTTTTTAGTGATGTAGCTCTTGATCAGTGTTCTGACTGATTTACTGGATACTCTCTGGCAAGTCCTATTAAAGGATCTTGACCTGTTTATCTATTTGTCAAATGAATGATCACTCCAAGGAAAGCAGGCGTGTATGACCTCTTCTTGCCTGACTCCCGTCTCCTTTATAGGGTGTTGTCACACACTGCATTCCAGCACATACTTACTGAGCATCTTTTATGAGTATTTGTGTGCTAGATAGTAGAAAATAGAAATGCAAGATAGGAAACTTCCTTGTACATGAAGCCAGTGGTCTGGCAGGGAGACCAGCTTGATTCATAATGAGATATTCAAGGCCAAAAGTCTCACAAAGGATGGAGGGAGGAATAGCACTTGGCACATGGGAATGAACTATGATGAACGAACTAACTCTGCAGGGAATCTAGGCTCTCTCAGGGAGATTTCCTAGAGAAGATGAAATATGAGCAGGGATTTGCTTCTAACCTGAGGCTGAGTGGGAAACCACCCGTGCTTGTAAGTTAGACTTGATAAAGCTCTGAGTGAGAACCAAAGATCCTCTCTTGGGGGCTGAAATCCCCTGGGGTGCAGTGCTGGAGCTTTGTGATGTTATTGTAGATTCTTAGTGGTAGTTTCAGCTTCCTTTTATAGCCAAGGCTATATTCCACACAGCTGAAGCTGTCAGAAGGATATCCTTCAGCACAGTGGGGCACTTGTATAACTAGGTCAAATGCATAGGACGAATCAGGCTTGGACAAACAAACGTCACCCAAATCTTAATATGTCCATATTCCTGAGGACCCCAAATTGGGACATCTGTACATGCCATAGTTTCTGCTCACACCTTCTTCTGCTTTTACTCCTTCTCTCATTCTCTGCTTTAATATTCCCTTCTCTTTTATGTGCAGTGGCTGGACTGTCATACAGTGCAACAGTGAGGCTTGATTAAAAAGATGTAGCAATCATGCTGTCTGGGAGCACGTGCATGGGCCCAGGTCTCTATAGATATTTGAAATGGCAAGTTAGTGAATCACTGAATTTGCTTTGCACAGAATGACTTTCCACTCACCTTATACTTCCAAGTAGTGGATAGCATCTGTTAGTTATTAATATGTCATCCTCATGCTCTAGAAAAAATGGACTGGTCTCAGAGAGGAAAACAAATAGAATCACAATATTAAGTGATGTGCAATTGCAAGTTTAGGTTTGCAGAATGCTCCAGAAATCATTGTCATCCTCTGTACTGTACAAGTTAAGGGACGAAGAGTAGAATTACTTCTAAGAAGGAGTAGGAAACTGTGAATTTCTTGCTGCTTCTTAATGTGGTAGTTAGGAGGCTAATATATTTTTAAGAAATTCCATTTCTGCTGGTCTTTCTTAGGAGTAATGATAAACTACTTTTTGTGGTTGTTTCTGTATCTAACTCAGTTTTTAATATTGGTCAACAGCTATCCACTGGATTTCCTTTTAGTAGTGTGAGATTTTTCTGATTCCTTTATTATTTCCTTTTAGCCAGATTCTTCATCTGTATTAATGATAGCAGTGGTTAACTATTCTGCAAAATTTAGTTTTAAGTCTTAATTTCTCACATTCTTCATTCAAAAGCAATCCATGTTCAAGTCCTAACATTTAGTTCTTCCGTCACAGCTTTTCCAGGATCCAATTCTTCTGTTTCAATAGCCATCCCCTTGTCTGAGCCTTAATTTCCTGACATCCAACCTAGTGAAGGTGTTCAAATTCCAGTCTTTTCTGACCATTTCTATCTTCAATCCAACAGCAGAAATCACCCTCTAAGAAAACATCCCTTTGAGTGTGACTCCTACAGTAGAAACCTAATGGTTCTCCTTCACTAGATTGAATCCACCTTCTTTCTTTCAATATTTCACTTAATGTTACTTTCTTCATGAAACTCTCAAGATCACAATCTACCTAATTTTGGTTGGACTACTAAGACTGAACACATGCCTTCCTTTAATAGCATGTTATTTTCTGGAAAATGCTGTGTGTTTTGTGTGTGCACACTGGTGTGTGTGTGTGCACATGTATGTGTGTATGTGTGTCATGGTTCATGGCCCCTGGATACTCTACCTAGAAGCTTGGCCACAAAAAAAGATGTCTGGTCTACTTTGGAGAGGCAAAATTTATGATCTGACCCCTCCAGCATCATACCAGCATTCTTTTGTTCACTGTATCAGTAATGGCTATATATTTTTTGAAAAAAAATTTTCGTTGAGTAGGTAATACGTGCACATATTACACAATTCAAAGGGTTCCAAAGGTATTCAGTTTGAGTCTCTCCCTTTCCTGTCTCGCAGCCACATAGCTCTTTTGTCAGCAGTGTTTTGAATATCCTAAATACAGTAGGATTTTAATGTGCTACCAGGTGTCCTCTCATTCAAGAAGCAATAAGCTTCCCAAGGCCAAGAGCTAAATGTTCTTTCTTTATCCTATCTTCTAAATCAAATGCCTACATCTCAATAAATTCTATCAACTAATCAAGTCACCTGTTTGGCTTATTCTTCATTTTACTTGCTTTTGAGAAATAGGAAGGACTTACCAAAGCAGAAGGAATACTGAAGGAGCAATGCAGTCACTAATGCTGACTCCGGAACATGGCACAAAAGCAAGAATGCCCACCTCTGGTGGCCCTCATTAACTAGCCCTGATGGGAATGGCAGTTACTTGGCTATGACCCTGCAGTGTCTTTCAAGAGACTTCCTGGAGGTAGAAGTTGGGGGCTAAGAACTGGAATACAGAGGACCCCAAGTCTGTATGAGCATGTGGCTCCCTTAGGCTTGTTTGCCACCATGCTGCCACCACTGGCAGGAGCTTCCCTCTGCAGGCTCCGCTAATCCTTTTCACATGGTAGTTGGACGTTTTTTGTAATGCCCAAGGCACAGGCCACCTCATCTGTGAGTCAGGGCTTGGTTATAGGCCCCCAGAAGGTTACACAGAAAACACATTATAAGCAAGAGTTTAGTTCACTGAAAAGGAAAATTCCTTATCATTTCCCCCTTTGCCCAGAATAAAAATACATTTGTTTATTTTGTAGGAGAGTCGAGAGGAGTTTATTTCTTTACTTATTTTGAGAGAGACACTAGAGAAAATGCTGTAAGTGCCTGAAAAGCCCCAGCTGAAGGAATCAATTTGTATTGCTTTTCAAACTCCACTAATGAGGGACTGCATTGCAAAATGTCACTATGGTGATCACAGTGAGCTCCTCATTCTCCTTGGCTCAGTAGCCCCGACAATCCTGAAAAAGGCCATTTGAGATTTCTTCCCCTCACATGTTAGCATTGAAACCTTATGCAGGCCAGTTGACAGTAAGGACAGCCCGGAAGCTATGCCCCATCTAGAGGGGAAGAAAAATGATCCCAAGTCAGATGGACAAGGCTGAGCAGCAGCCCATGTGCCGTGAAGATAAACCTGGGTCTGCATCTGGCCCAGGGGAGGGCTGGAGGGGGAGCAGGCCGGCTGGAGGGAAGCTGGAAATGGCCCCACTGCAGCAAGTGAGAAGTGGCTGGCCATGGGAGACTCTATAGCCTCACGGTGGGAGGAAGTTTAAAAAATAAAGTCTCCTTTTTCTTTATATGATATGATACCTGTGTTTCTGTTCATTACAGGATCCAAGTTTAACTCAGACCCAATCAGGACATGATTTCTGCCACTTCACTGGGCAGAATAAGGCTCAGCAGCACAGACTGCTACAGCCAGGTCATACTTGAAAGAGGAGGAAGGACGAGCCGGAGGCCCCTGGATTAGAGGCGACTGAAGAGCAGGACGCCTTCTTTGTGAGTAGTGGTGGGAACAGCCTCTGTGGGGACACCTGATAAACAGACTTGGTGTCTGTAGGAACTGAGCATAATCTTTATAGGGCAAGAAGGGTTCTGAATCGACACCCACAGATCTGTGTGGGGTAAAAACGATACTAGAAACACAGACATTGTAGAAACACAGATAAAGAAGATATGGACAGTCTTTAGCTATAACTGGCTGAAGACTCATCAATTCTTGGAGGAGAAATGAATTGAAAATTAATATGAAAAGTGCCACTGCATATAAATTTCTATTTTATTCTCTATAATTACATCTAAATCACATAAATTTTAAACGATATCTAAAGCTTCAGGGATGCATAACTAATTCTTGATACATTTCTAGAAGGGGAAAAAGAGCCTGTCCATGGATTGTTATCAATAGAAATCAATTGGGTGGTGTTCCGAGAATCTTGGCCCAGCACGGGCAAGCCTGGAAAGTAGCTCCACATAAAGCAAAGCAAAGAAAAAAGTAACCAACTGACAAATGCATTAAGAAAAAAACCTTACTGATGAAATCTCACTCCCAGGGATTTTGATCTCATTGGTTTGGGAAAGGGTGACAAGTATCAGCACTCCAAAGCTCCCCAGGTGATTGTAATGTGGCTCAGGGATTAAGACCACTGTGCAGAAGAATGGTCTGCTGGGTCCTTTCTGTCTGGGAGGTGATGTGAGTCCCAGGAGTGCCTCCAGAAGCATGGTGGGGCTAAGAGGGATAGAGGGGAGGATGAACACCCTGAGTCCCAGCTTTGGACCATATCCCAAGGGGTCACACCTGGATAAACATGGCAGGTAGGTTGGAAGGAGATGGCATGTCATACTTTCAGGTGTACCAGGACAGTGAGGAAGAACAAAGTATTAATATTTGTGAAAACTCTTCTGGAACCTATGAAGAGATCCTTGTAAAGTCTGAAGGTAAATCCAAGCACCTTGTTAGTGAAATATCAATAACTGAAGCATTATATATATCCATTAATATTTAGGAGGATGTTTTAAATAATAAAAATTAAATAAATGGTGATGGGAAAAGTTCTCTAAAATTGAATATATAAGCAGAGACAAACAGACCCAGCTGGATCTAAAGTTGATATTACCACAACACATTAATCCAAGTAAATTTTGTGCTCTATATTCAGGCTATTTGCTCTTACTAAGATAGATTGTCAGAATAAAAAGAAAGCTTTACTCAGTAAGTTTGTGTTGGGAGTGTTGAGTGTAGTGATTCTGACACTATTTTGTGTGCATTTCAGGACTGAGCAAATGAATAAATACACAAATATTTTGGGGAACTGGGGTTCTCACTGTGGGCAAAGGGAGACACAAATATGGAATGGGGAAAAAATGAGGAAGAATCCTATGGTGTTGGATTGGAATTAGTGGTATCAGTATAGCCTCATTTCTTTTAAAAAATATATTTTCCTAGATTTGTCCACCGAAAGAGCCTAAGAGCAAAGATAGTCCAGTAGCAATGAACACACCTAACACCAGATCTGGTTTCTAAATACCCTTTCCCACTAAAAGTAACCTGGGCTCCTTGGAGGAAAGCCCAATTCCAGGTTTGGGGCAGGGAAAGGACAAAGTAAGTCTGAAACATCTTGAGCCACAAGAAAGTGCTCAGAAGCTGATGGATCTATGTCAAAAGGCTACAGGAACCTGCTTGAAGGGGCTCCTAGTGGACAACTTTGGGATGATTTGAGCATCAAAAATCATAATGTCATGAGTAGATTTTGAAACAGTAATTTAAAAAAAAAGAATCTACGAGGCCATATTGATACAAAAATTTTTTTAAAGCTCTTTACAGAAGAAAATCAAGTCATAAATGTATAGAGGTATAAGAGAGAAGAAACCACTGGCAAGAATCATCAGTGACATTAAAACCAGTGGATGAAAGATTTTGGGGGACGAAGAATATTCATTTGGGCTCAAACTATGCACTCCACATGATAGCTTATTCATTACAAAGGGGAAAGGTACTTTTGCATGTGATAAGCCTGTCTGTACCATGTTAACCAAATGAGCAGACTTATCACTGATAATGGGCTCCACTAGCATCATGTGCCACTGGATGTGATGAGCTCAGAAACTTTCCTGTAGGGTATTGGCCAAAAATGTTTACCCTCAATCTAATCTGAAGGGAAAACCACCGAATCCAAATTAAGGACTATTTTGACAACTCTCTTGGATCTTCAGAAATATCTATGCCATGAAAAAAAATGTCTGGGGAAACAGTTTTAGATTAAAGGACTTGAAAGAGACATGAAGTGCATGATCCTGGTTTGGTCCAGAAAAAAACAACCAACCAACCAACCAACCCCAGGATGTTGCCAAGCCAATTGGGGAAATCTGAATATGATTCATAAGTGAGAGAAATAATATTATATGAATGTTAATTTTCCAAGAATGATTGTGTTGTGATTATGAAGAAGACACACTGTAGGAATATATGTGTATATAAATATGTATTTAACATTTTATTTCCTTGTTATATTTTACTAATTAAATTTTAATTGAAAAAATCTCCACTATTCAGAAAATGAACAATGATAGAGAAAGGAGGGAGAGAGAGAGAGTGCCCAAGTGTTGCAAGATTTTAATAATTGGTGCGTTTAGGGGAAGAGCATATAAAGCATTCATTTTTCTAAATAACATTTTTCAAGATAAAACATTTAAATAGTAAAACATAAGAGAAACATGTTGAATAGTTTAAAAAAATTTAAGAGGTAATTGGGAAGATTTTCTGCAGGAAGTGAAAGTTAGGGAGAAATTAAGAATTTCACTTGGTTTTCTGCCTTACCTGAGTAGGTAAATGATAAGGTCATTATTTAAGGTAAAAAACAGAATAAGAAATTGGTTTATGGAGGAAAATAGATGAGTTTGTTTCTTGTTGATTTTGAGTGGGTGGAATCAAAGATGTGGGAGCAGTAATGGAGGCAGGTCCCCTCAGCCTGGGAGACGGGGTGTGTGGTGGGGATGACAGGGGAGCTGGGAATTGGGGCATAAATACCTGATGGTCTCAATTTTAATTGCTATTAGTTTATGAAGTAGGGGCAGCTATTATCTGAAAGGGGGAGGAGAACTTTTGGGGATACTGATACAAATTGCATCTGGGCTGTGCCTCCATCTTGATGTTCAACATTTGACTAACTGTTATACCTGGTTCCACAGCTATAAATCAAGAAAATGACAACACTTCATTTAGAAATGCATCAACTGTGATCCAAAATCATGACTGGAAAGGTACCCACCATATCAATGCTGCATCCAAGCTTGACACATACATGTCCATTCCTCTATCCTCTGCCTTTGGCACCATTGGCACTCTGCCTTTGGCAAACTTTTGAGTTTGCATGGGAAGACAGTCCTGTCCTCCAAAGCCCACTTCCCCCATTAAACACAGCAAGCAGATTAGGGTCTTATTTTTAGAGATACTTTAAATGTATTCAAAACAGAATGTAGTGCATTTTACTAAATGTTAATACTTCTTTTTTCCATGCCATCGAGATAATATTTGGTTTCTTGTCTTGATATCAAAGAATCATTATAATTTGGCAAAGTTTTTCCAGGTGGCAATTTTTTTTATTAAGGTATCATTGATACACAATTTTATAAAGGTTTCACATGAGCAACATTGTGGTTATTACATTCGCCCATATTATTAAGCCCCCGCCAACACCCCATTGCAGTCACTGTCCCTCAGCATAGTGAGATGCTATAGAGTCACTATGTGTCTTCTCAGT